ATTACCAGCTAGCTATATTCTTCAAATTGATACAAATGGTCTCCTTCTGTTTCTAACTGTCGGCTTGTCTGATTAGAACAACTAATTATTCGGACTGGGAAGATCTCCTGTATCTAAATAGAAGATGTGCAGTTTGTAACCTGCTTAATTTGCCTTATGTCCTACATGGCCCTCAGTATGGTATTCATTAAACTATCAGCTGTTTTGTTTATAAAAATGGCAATATAAGCATAGACAGATTTTTCTTTGTTAAAAAAGCCATATCGCCCATAAATAATATGCACCTTGTTGAAAATGGCAAAAAACACCATCAGGTATGTGTCATGACTATCTTGTATTTCTTCATATTATATGTCCTAATGCAGTTACACTGAAAGACTTACGATACTGACTGGACTATGAAGATTTAAAATAAGTTCAACATCTTTATTTAGACTTCTACATTAAATTTAAGTATTTATGACAAATCAGGTTCAAATCCAGAGCATCTGATTTTATTTCATTTTCTTGGAAGAGATTTTTGAATTAAAATACATAATTTGAGACTAGATGATATTATTAAATATTTAAAGAATGGACTCAAATCTTTTTCCATTAACTGCATACTGTTTTCAATTTAATTTAAAAATTATAACTACGGTAATCTATTGTAACTTTATTTTTAACTAAAGAAACAAAACTTGTGGGAAAGCTGTATTTGGGTCTCAAAACAATCATGACAACAGATTGATTTCTTAAGAATTTAAAGAATCTGAGCTGTCAGAAAAAAACCTAAAAATAAAATATTAATCAATTTAATAACATAGATGCTAGAATTTTATTTACCACTATATAGATTATGTGAAGAACAATAGATTTTCAGATGAGAACTCTAACCTTAAAAAGTAGGAGTTTTGATGGGAGAACTATTTTATTATCTACTACCATTGTTAAATGATTCATTCTACTTTGTTTTATAAGAGACATTTTTACATTTATATAAATTACATATATAAACTGAAAGAACTGCCACAGGAACTTTATTACTCGATGTTTTCAAGTGTACATCATTTTTATGTTGATTCTGTAGATTACCTTCTATGTCCAAAATTAGGCCAATACTTCCTACATCAGCAATCAAAAGCAAATAATTGTAAATAGGTATTTAAGCTTATCAGCTGATTTCAAATGCAGTATCCTCAAAACCTAAATAGTATTGAGGTATGGCCTAATACAAGTGGCATGAGAGCTGATAAATTAGTTCAGATATATTTAAAAATATTATTATGTTAATTCTTGAAAAAGAGAAACAATGATGCTCACTGTGTTTTATGCTCCAATTTTTACTATACATGAAAATATACAAGTGACTGCAAAACAGGAGAACACTATTTAAGAAGCAAGTGACAGGAATAATTATTATCAGACATAAGTGGAGAAGTGATATTCCAATGGCCTTTGTCACTAGAAATCTGTAGCTGTTCAAGTAAAATCAAACTACACAGAAGCTATTATTAATAAATGACTATTAAAAGCTTGCTAAGTAGCATCTGGTGTTGGATGAAACAGAAGGAAGTTTTGATGCTATTTAGAGAGAATAAAATAAAGCAGACTGAGTAAGTTTCAGTATTGAATGTTCTACACAAGTCTTAATTGTTCATAACTCACAGCTTTCTAAGCCAAACAAATATTTTGAGACATATTTTTAATACCTGTCACATTAAAATAAATTTTTTATGTTTAATTCTTACCTTTTCTGATTGGCCCTATAATCAAAGCAACTCCAATGATCTATTTCTTTGTGTAACTGTATCAAGTGAGGAATTATGTCTCTTATTTATATCTAGAAATATTGACTGTTTATAATTAATGTCTACCTGATGTGTTAAAAAAGAAATTATGTGCATATCTATCTCTTGCATAGCAGATCTGGATGTTTGGCTCATAGACTAAACCAGAGGTCGCCAGCCTTTTGGGCAACAGGGACTGGTTTTGTGGAGATTCAATATCCAACTGCTCTGGCAATTATGCATCTTCTCTCTTGGTGAAGACATGGAACAGCCCAAACCACTCCTTCAAACTAGACACGGTCAGAAAATAGATTCTGCCAAGTTTACTGGAACTCTATTTTATTGATCATGGTATAATAACAAAATCTAGAAATCCTAACAGAGATTTTTCATCTTTCCTCTTGTATCAAAGAGAATCAAGGGAGCCAAAATGGTTGAGTCAAGAATACTATAAATTCCATGGGGTAGGTATGAAACAAATGTAAATTCTATAGATGCAAATGTACTAATCGGTCTAGAAGATGAAAGTGAAAAACTTCAGTCATATATTTAAGACAGTAAGTTTCTCTAAATACGTTTAATGTGTAGAGACATTAAACGTATTCAGACTATCACCTATTCTCTCTCATATAGGATTAATCTGACTAATGATGACTTCATAGCTAATAATTAAAGACAATATTATTTGCAATTAGCCAAGTGCATTTTTAAAGATGAATCAAGAAACCTATTATATTTTGAACAAATGGAACAAATCCTCCATTCATATTTAAATAAATTAAATGTAAATAAATGGTAAAGGTTGATGGAATATTTATGAAAAGACAATTCAATGCTACAGAGATTGTTCAAATTGTGTGTGCATGTGTGTGTGTAATTTTACCATAATAAAAAGCTGCTACTTCAATATTGTTTTATGAAGAAAAGTAGAGACTTTTTCTTCAACATAAATGGTCAATGTTAGCGTGCTTTTTTATATAGTTTCGTCATTAATTAATAAAAGCTATATTATCCATATATGAGCTGATGCTGAATTTATCTTTTCTCTGGATTAAAACCTTACTATCAAGCCACAAATTCCTAAGTATCAGATGCATATATAGACTAATTTAAATTGTTATTTAACTGCATTGTAGCATATAACCAGGGGAGGATTTATGCAAGGTACCCAGTACATCTACCTTTTTTATAGAGCAATTGTAGCCACTTAATACTGAATTTCTGAGTTATGGCATTTGTGCTAAGAAAATTATGCTAAAGTCCATCCTATTGTCAATATCCACAGCTTGCTTTATTTTAAATAATAGTATAAAAATAAAAGATTATGAATCTTGACTGCATATGGCATTAGATTAAAATGCAGTTTGTGTTTCACTGTAAAAAAAGTCATGGGGATGAAATAGATGCTTTATATAAAATATTTACATATAGAATGTAAAAATGTATCATGGTTGGTAACCTTTATGACTTTGAGGAACTATATATTTACATATGTCTATCTTTGCATGTGCATATCTCTGTGTTGTGTATATATTTTTAACAGTTGACAGCTGTTTTAGAGCATACAGAGATGCCAAGCTGAATGAGGGTCTTGATTACTTCAAGATTAGCTATCTTAAGTTTCTATTCATTTTAAGTGTTGTTAGTGCGAAGAGTCATTAGTCACTTCCTTGTCTCATAGAACATCAGCATACATTTACATTGTTAATGAAGATTTGGGGTAAATGAATTAATGGCTCTTTTAAACATCAATTCAAATACTAATAACTTTATATGTCATAGCAATGTTAAAGTTAAAAAAAACTAAGAAGTCTTCCCCTATAGAGGTAACTGGGCAAAAAAAGAAAGAAAAAGAAACAAATAAAATAAAATATAATTGCAAAATGAACTTTAAAGGAGAATGTTTATAGCTTAGAATTGAAATGAGGTGTCCTTGGTGCTCTCTGAACTTGATTGTTTTCCTGCAGATTTCATTACCCAAACTAGACAATATCATCAGTGCTATTAATGTGGGGTTTCCACTCAATTAATATTCTGGAAGCTTGCCTTGTCAGTATTGGTCAGAGTGGTCTTAGAAGGTTTTTTTTCTGATTAATATCAGACCAACAATCAAGAAGTGAACAATACCCCAATCAAAGAATTGCCAAATGAGCCAACAGTAAACAGCCCAACCAAATAACCATCAAGACTACTCCTACCATAGCAAGCCACTAAAATATAAATTGAGAGCAAACCCCACTCCCTACTAGCACTGATTATCTTACATAGTTTGGGTAACGAAACTCTTCCAGATAACTATCAAGCTCGGAAAGCACCACGGACCCTTTAAACTGAACTTCGTGTTACCAGTGTTGCTCTCTCCTAGCCAACCAGAGAATATAGTCCTTATACATAAAGGTAATGGATGCATATTCATAAGGATATATGAATTGATATAAAGGATCGGTCCAATATGACATACCCCATAACTGCATATTCAGTTGAGCAGCAGAAAAGAGTATCTATAAACATTAGATTATATATACTAAAAAAAAGTCTTGGGCAAGATTATAATAGAGGGTGGAAAATTTCTAGCCTTATAGATATTATTGAAACAGAACAGCATCAGAGCAGCCAACCAGCATGAGGAGATGTGAGAAATGTTGGGAACTTTAGTTCAGCAACAGGATGCTCAGTAATCTCATCTATTGCCACACAACAATGATCACTAGTAGACTGATGATATCCAATTATATATTTCTACCCTGGAAAATTAAATGAAACCACAAACATTTTACCCAATGGAAGCTGTGAGGCTATCTGGTTTTAATCTTTATAGCATGGGTATCTGAGGGACTTAATTACATCAGCCTATTCCATCAGATCTGACAGACAAGGCATGCTGCAAGTTCCATCAACTAGAGATCTACATTTGGTGGATGCCAGGAGAAACCCATCTTGTGGAATATTCTTGGCCTGAAATTAGATTAACTCCATTCCTTTTGATATTCTTTAAGCGTCTCAAGACTTGTGCTATATTATTAGGCTTGGGGCTCCTAGGGAAATGGAGACATGCTTAGATGGCTTTATATTGAGGTGGTCATTCTTATCCTCTTTCCTAGGGTTTATATATTTTATTGATTTGAAAACAAAACAAGTCCTCTCCTGAAATTTATATCAAAAGAAGCTGTCATTCCAAGCTTTTCTAAATATTTTTAAAGTGCAACTACAGTACAGAAATTATATACTCACCTTCATCAGTTTTGTTCCCATAACTCTGAAGGGGATCAATCCCTATTTCTTGCTCCTCAGCTTGCAAAGGATGGCTAGCTCCAGAAACAGAGTGATACATATTGAGATTTGGCACGTCCAGTAAGCTGAATTATCTAGATGAAAAATTAAAAGTAAATAATTAATCATACTACCAACTATTTATATTGTATTAAGATGTAAAGACTTCAGAAAAATGCAGTATTTCGTTCAGAAAATTCTTAATAATTTCTGCATGGCACAGCTACTAATCATACTATTAATTACTAACAAAGTGTGAAGGACTATGAGAAATGTGCATTATTACACAATATACGCATTTACTTTTTGAAGCATGTCTCAATATTTAATTTTTTGCTACCTCCCATAGAAATACATAGAATCTTTTAATGACCACTTCTGCATTATTCTCAAGAAAAGTGAATAACTATATCCATGTAGATTACCAGTTGAGTTTGAATTTAAGGAAATTTTCAGTGTATTCAGTATCAGACAAACTTAACAGAATTGTATTTGTGTTCATTTGTGTGTTTTATTTAATTATTAAATTTATAACCCCCCATTTCACCAATAAGGTGACTTTAGGAAGTTTAAAAATATAAATATAAAAACGTTAAAATTACGAATTATATACATACAAAACCAAATGGTAGATAGCACTGTAATGAGATATTCTTCATTGTCAACCATCTCAAGCAGGGAGTGCCCCTAGGGGCCCCGAGCCAACTGGCAAAACTAGGCTTTAATGACCCTCCAAAAGCCAAAAGAAGGGGAATGATCTCACAAGGTGGGGGCCACAGTGGAAAAGATTATTCTTCTTGACTTCACCAGCTGGAATTTCTTATTAGGTGGAATGCACAGGAGACCTCTTCCACTGGAGTGAGTGCTGTGGACTAATCCCATTGGGGTGAAAAGGCTCCTCAGATAGTCTGGATCTATGCTACAAAAGGCTTTAAAAATAACAAAGTGACATTTAAAGGTAACAATAAACAATTTGAACTGGATCTGAAAGCAAAATGTAACCAATGCAACTCGTACAATAGCTGTTATCTGCACTACTCTAAGGTCCCCAGAACTGCTCACATCACTGCATTCTGTACCAGCTGCAGCTTCCAAAGACAGTTCCAGGGTAGCCCCATATAGAAAGCATTGCAGTAAACCATCTGAGAGATGACTGGGGCATTAATGACTGTGCACAGGCCGCATGATCCAGATATGGGTGCAACTGATGCACAACATGAAGTTGCAGAAAAACTGTCTTAGTGATAACTACCATCTACTCTTTGAGCAGGAGTTGTGAGTCTAGGAGAATCCCCAGTTTGTTTGGGAACTGCAACCCCATCCAGAATTAAAGATGATAAACAACCAGATCTCTAGGTTCCCCACATACACAGCCACTCTGTCTTATTAGGGTTCAGCTGAAGCCTGTTGTTCCTTAACCAGACCTTCATAGTCTCCCCACTGAGAAATGACCACCACAACATCACTTGAATCACCAAGAATGGAGATGTAGAGCTGAGTATCACTTGCATATTGATGATACCTCATCCCATGGTGCTTGATGATTGCACCAAGCAGTTTTATGTAGATGTTAAGTAGTAGAGAGTTCCAAGCCCTGCAGCACTCCACAAAGTAGTGCCCTTGGACTGGTTTCCTCACTCCCTATTAACATCAATAGGAACTTTTTAGAAAGAGCTGAACCAGCACATTATTGGTTTCTACATAGGGCAGGCAGGCTGATATAGCAGCAACAATATCAACTGTCTCACAACCCCAGCTTCAGGAACAGGGTTTCACATCTGTAAATCTGAGGAGCATGGTTTCTGAAGGCCAAAAGAGATTCTCAGATGACAACTGCTATATCCTCTCCCCTGAGGTCTTGGCTAGTGCACACCCTAAATCCAACTGGACACATCTCTTCTGGAGTCAGCCGAGTTGGCTGCTGCTGCGCTGCTGC